CTTAGTAGAAATTTTGAGTTTTCTTGTTTTTTCCTTCTGCTCTAAATTTGGTCGGAATGATCGACGGAGAGAGTTTTGGATATGGTATGAAACAATATAAGTATTATATCTAGCTTTAAGATATGTAACAAAAGTGAAAATAGTGAAACTCAAACAATAACAAAAACAATATATTCAAATTTATATAACTTGTCTTTTATAGAATCTAAAAAAAATATAACAAATAACAACAATGAAACTTTGCAAAGACCTTAGTCAAGTTTATTTGCAAAAGTCAAGAGAGGCCAATTAACCTTTACCTCTTTTTCTTCAAGAAATAATATTAAGTCAAAAATAATAATACCCTTATTTTGGACATACAAAATCTTAACAACTCTTTGAATAAAATTATGATCTCTCTTTATGAAACAGTAGTATATAATATAATCACAACTAAGCTATATATCAATAGGAGTTCACATACTCATCATGAGTTAATATTTACTAGCAAAGAAAAACTCAAATATTATACTACAAAAAGAATTAAGATATTTAATAAGACCTATTATAGCTATATTCTAACTAATATAAGAAAGTTTTTTCTTTTAGTTAAAGTCAGAAATATACCTTTAAGTAACAAAGAGAATATCTCAGAAGAAATTAAAGAGGTTTTTGATGATATAGATAAAATTGTTTTAACTAAACTTCTTTTAATTGAAGATATATTCTATTTAATAGACTAATAAATAGTTACTTTCAAGACTACTGATGGCTTAGATCTTGAAAAAAGTATTTTATACTTTGAAGTTATTTTTGATAACAAAGTTACTACAGAATAGTGCTCTACTCTTAAATTTTATTTTTTCTGTAACAAAGAAGGACATATTAAAAAAAAATGTTTTTAATTTAAAGAAGTCTTATTACTTTATCAATAGCATAAAGAATTCCTTGCTAGCAAAAAAAAGGACAAAAATACTCATATTGAATTAGACAAGGAAGTAACAAACTAGAAAGACTCTATTAATTCTGACAAAAATACAGAAACTGAAATCTCTCAAACTAAGGAAACTCTAGAAAATAGCTTTTCTACAATAGAAGATATTAACTCAGAAAGCTTCATCTTAGAAAAGGAAAATATAGAAATTCTATCAGTTGAAACTCTTGACAACAGTAACAAAAGAATATTATAACTAATAATATACAGGCAGAGACTATTATAGGAATTGAAGATACTAACTCATTAAAGATCTTAATAGTTCTTATTACTAATAGTAACAAGCTATATCTGCAAACTAATAATCTGGAGGAGAGATTCACTACTGTTTCTTCAAAAAAAAGAGAAAACAAAAAAGATACCTCAGAACAAAAAGAAGAACTAATTAGAGTTGCTTCTTATAGGAAAACTTGTAATAGAGTACAAAATTCACAGATCTAATTCTGTACTATTCTACTTCTAATATAACTGATCAACTCAAATTTAAAGTTGCAACTCTAAATATTAAGAGGTTAAACAATCAACAAAAACAATAGAACACTCTAACTCTTTTAAAATCTTACAAATTAGATATAATTATATTATAAGAAATGAATTTAAATAACCAAAATATCAGCAACTCTTTTCCACGATCCTTTTTCCCAAAAAAATTCGAAAAAGCAAAAAACAAAAATTTTGTTGGAGATAATGAAGAAGACTCTTTTACAATAATGGTTTTTACAAAGGTCAACTAGGTTTTTACTTCTCCTTAGGGACTCCTTTGTATATTCAGCATGCAAGCTAGAAGCGATATTATATAAGATAACTAGCAGGAGGTAGTGCTCTTATATAAAAAATTTTAGTAAAGAACTTTTAGAACAAAGTTCTTTGTCGACGAAGTTAGTAAAAGAAGGCTTAAGA